AACAAAGGAGGCTTTCCATAAAGGGGAGTGGAGAAAAGGGACCTCTCAAGCTTCCAACATCAAGATTCTTTGACATAGTCACCAACTGTCACTTTTTCATTACTTTCATGACAAAAATTAACATCCCTTCATTTTCTCTTAGGACTTACACTTAATAAAAAATTAACTTCTGTGTCATTGATCAGGAATTATCTTTTATTCTTTTTACATGCAAGAAAAACTGCATATAATAAATTCTACACATTGAAAAATACAAGCCTTTTATATAAAGAACAAAAAGATACTTTAGTTAATTCACAGAAATATTATTTTGCTTTAGGCCATGTAATGGTGCATTGTAACTATAAATTATGTGCAACCAAAGTGTATGATAATTCCATAAAACTGCCACACTCTACTTCCAAATAATACATCTGGAAGGAAAGAGTCAAATGTGCTTCACCCTACAGCAAGACATAAAACTGCTGAAAAATATCATTGCTGATTTCTTTTCTTTGAAGTTTCTATTGCATTTCCATCAAGGGCACTGTTATTGGCTGTGCTGTGTCCCCTCCAACACTCACACCTTGAACCCTTAACCCCTCGTATCTCAGAAGCTGACTCTGTCTTGGAGATAGAGACTTTAAACAGGTAATTGAATTAAAATGAGTTAATTAGAGTGGGCCATAGCCAGTATGGATGGTAATCTTCCAGGAGGAGGAAAATAGATCACAGGCCATGCAGAGGAAGATGATGTAAAGACACAGGGCAAATCGGGCCATCCACAGCCTAGGAAGGAGGCCTCAGAGGAAATGCACCTCTCCCTCATGTTGATCTGGACTTCTGGACTCGAGAGTTGTGAGAAAACCTATTTCTGTTTTCTAAGCCACTTACTCCTTGGTGCTGTGTCTTTGCAGCCCTAGGAGAGCTAGTATAAGGGAACCCTATCTTGTCTTGTAGTACTGCTGGATGTCCTCCCCATTACTTTGCACCTGCTTGCCTCATGCTGGATGGATGGGCTGGACAGAACTGAATTCTCAGGTTTATGGGAGGTATCAATATGACTCATATTCAACAAGGTTCCATGAGGACATTTATAAGTATTAGAAGACAGAGAAGAGGTGTGGTATGGCAGCTTTGAAAACTGATGGGCAGCAGATGAAATTAGGGATGGGATTGTCTTGCTGCTTCAAATACATCCTGGAAGCTACCCTTGGCCTTCTCTGATGATGCTCTGAGAAAAACAACCAATTATTTCTTTTGCAATGTCTGATGCCATTCTTAATTTTAAAACAAAATTCTGCTGCCTCCTAGCTGGATGCCACATTTTCCTCAATTATGTCTCCTTTTTCCTTATTTAAAAAGTAGGGTGTAGATGATTGTATAGAACAGTTACTGCCTTAGCATCCTTTTCAGACCTCACATAGTTGTTTGAGACTCAGTTATATTCCCCTCCCTTTCACCTATTAAGACCCTAGTATCTTTTTGCGACATGTCTCACTTATTGTTCATCCCACTGGCTCTAAAATCCTACATACTCCATACCTCCTGGTTGTGATCCAGTATAATGGGCAGCCTAAAAGTCACGGAGCAAGTTTCCCCTGAGTGTTTACTGTCAGCGAAGCAGCCGATGATTCCTCTGTGAAAGCCAAAGGGACAACATGGTTGTCCCTTGTAGGTACTTAAAACCTTGCATGGTTGTAGAGGTCCCTGCCCCCCGTAACTGCTGGTTGAGCTTTCTGCTGCCTACAAGCTTCTACTGTTCTCCCAACAGCACTCCTAACCTTTTGGACCTGAAAGTAATACTTTCCTGTTTAATGTATTTTTATTTATTTATTCATTTGTTACAGGGTCTCATTACACAGCTCAGACTTGTAGTGATCTTCTGGGATTATAGGCATGCACTGCAATGCCCCATTTCAGTAGCTGGCACAATGTGCAGTACCGGGGATAGAAGCCAGATCAAGCTCTGCTCCTTGTACTCACCAGGCAGGCATTTAGACAGCCAAGCTGTCCTCCTCAGCCCTGTTTCATACATTTTAGTTTTTGTCTTCATTGTGCTTTTCCTCATATACACATAAACCTAACTTTCCCTCCAGTCATGGCTCTCCTAGAGAATGCATAGTCTGGTTCAAAGCCACTCTCAAGGTAGACAGACCTCAGGTCCACATGAGAAAGGTGGGCAAGATAGTTCTGCAGACTAAAGCACCTGCTTGACAAGCTTATGCAAATGCAAGGACCGTGATTTGATCCATGGGCACCACACTCTGTGCGAGCCCCACCCCCAGGGCAGGCTGAGCAGGCCACAGAGTCCAGGCATAGTAATCCCAGCGCTGGGAAAGCTGAAAACAGGAGGCTCACTATGAATCTGAGCGGCATAGTGAGACCTTGTAACAGCTAAAAACATTAGAAAGCATGCAAGCAAGCGTGACAATAGAAATCACAACCCAAGGGTAATAGAGTGCCTGCTCCCCCATGATGACATGATTAGCCCAAGTGAATAAATGAATGGTGTGTCTGGCCCATAGAAGGCAATCTGGCAAATAATAGGTAGCAATTATGATGTGTTCTATCTTTAGTATGATCTCTTCTACTTTAACTTTTATTGTTTTCATAGACATTTTCTCTTAAACTCCCAATTGCAAAATTTACAAACATAGAATTAAACTATCCCTAAACAAGGATTGGCTTCGTGTAAACATGGCTTTTTCCTAAACTATTATTATTTTTGCATTGATTGGAAAGGGCTATGAACACTAGCTAGAGATATTCTGAGTAAATTGGTCTGGGGAATGATAAGGTAAGCCAGGAAAAAATGATACTTTAATCAGAGATGGTATGATTATGAATTAACCATAAATTCAAATTAAGGACAAATAAAGTATATCATTTTATTAGGAGTCACATCTTCCATTCACCGCACCTTTATTTCAGATTGCTTATTTAGAATTTACAGATGGCTGATGCCTCAACATGGCAGAACTACACTGTAGTCCTTGAGGATTTGAAATGTTGTCTCAAATGTACTTACTGTTATAAATATGTACAAGAAATAATTTCATGATTATGGTGTGCTTCAAAGCACTGATGTGAAACTAAAGATGCTTTTATTATTATTTCACTCACTCGAGTACTGAGATGAGATTTCGGATTTATTTAGAGCAGCAACTTCTCACACATTAATTTATTTGCAAAGTTATTAATATATTCTAGACTCCTAAATATCTCATTTTCTAAAACTTGCAGTGCATTCTAGCTTTGCGTTTTTAGAAATACCTGATAGATTTGATTTAATATCAATGATTATAGAATTATTTTTACTATTATAGGTTAGAATGGAAATGAGTTCTCATTTTAGAAGATATGAAAATGTATGTAATGCCATTATTTAAAACTCTCAAAGAGTTTAAAACTTACAAAATCTTATTAATCATGCTGTTGTATTTATGAGATGAGAATAGTAGCATTATGCAACACAGAAAGTTCTATCTTTTACATATTGAACAATTCCTTTTACCAATACTTATAACTACAAGCACCATTGACCTCACTATGATTATAATGGAAATCAAGAGAAAGGATGGAAAAAAAGAGACTGAAACAGAAAGAAGCCATCTGATGATGGTGAGACAAATTTATTAAGTTTAGCTCATCTCAACCACTGATTATGAAATGGCTATTATGCACTTTACACAATAAAGCACTGAGATGCTAAAACAAATACAAAGACCGGTTAAGAAAGGAAATAAAGTCCAAAAAGAGAAAATGGCAGAAAAAGGGTTGCAACCACAACTTTGTTCTTTTTCAAATGAGTCTGAGAGATTTTACCTCATGCTTATGTTAGGAAAATATTTTAATGTACCAAAAATATGTACACCTATTGACAGATTCACCTTTTGTTTATACAATTAGGGAAAAGGACTTTAAATTACCCAGATAAGCTTGCCCCATTTCAAGCATCAACAGGGAACTGCCCATCTCCAAGGGATTTCTGCAGTTGTTCTCAAAGCATCTTCCTCCTTGGATCACAGTGGACAGGACATACTCTTTTGTTTGCTTGTCACAGATAGTTTTAGAAGCAAATATGCATCAGAACCCTTTATTTCCCTTCTTCACTGTTTGCCATCTGCTACAGCCACCCACTGAATAAAAAGCCACTGTCTCACAGACATGGAAAACTCAGAGAAAAGCTCTATAAAAAGGTAGCCACTAACAATGTTCACAATAACTTCAAATTTCCTGGAAGCGACTTTTACCATGGCTAAGGAAAGCTCTTTGGGCACTATGACTTTAATGGCACCATAAAAATAACAAGGCGTTAAACAAGCCTTATCCTTAATAGTTTAGAGGAGACAGAATGGGGAGAAATATTCAAATTACCCCAGTCCCACTAATGGCACATCAATCAATAAAAATCCATTACTCAAGGTTCTTTAATAACCCCAACATTTCTCCTACAGTCAAAAAAGAAGTATGAAATAAGGTGAATGACTACCATCCTCAGATTGCACTAGAAAAGGCTGCTGTAGTCATTGCAATTTGAGGTGAGAAAATTGGGTGGAATAGGGATGGAATGCAACAACAATTTCTACTTGAGCTATAAATATAAATGGGTTCCTTACAATTTCCAGCAGTGGGGGCTTAGCATAGTCCATGTAGGCAGGAAGACTGGAAATATTACAAGTTGGAGAAGGACATGCCATCTGGGCCTGAGGAAGGCCATGAGGGGTCTTTTGGGTTCACCCCTCACTATTAATATGAGACAGGGAGACCCAGAAGATCTACTGACTTCTCAAGACAGCCCAATGACCTAACAGGGTAGAGAGGTTGAGACCCAAGGCCTCTTCTCATTTCCTTCAGCTCTGAAAAACTGCGATACAAGTTGGCAAGGATGATTGATGTCTGGAAAGGTAGATGAAGCAGTCTTGGAAATTATTCAGATCTTAACACCATAGGAGTAAGTGATATGTGTGCTTCTTCACTTCACTAAATTCCAAAAGGAAAAGAAAAGCTGTACTTACCTATAGGGAAAAACTCGCTCATTTTCTTTTTGTAGATTTTGAAGTCAACTTCTAGGAAGACACAAAAGATGATCCGATCCACCTAGAGGCAAACAATAAGCACTCAAAATGAAAGGGAATGTGGCAAATGCTTTACCATAGTGCAGATTAGAACAAACACAAAGAAATGGAAAAGGCTCACACAGATCTTTAGTTCTATACTGGTAACTTCACGGCACTGAGTGAAGTTCAAGGGTGTGTGTGCGTGTGTGTGTGTGTGTGTGTGTGTGTGTGTGTGTAAAAGAGAAAGGAGGAGAGTGTTGGTGAGTGTAAGTGTATATGTGTGTGTGTGTCAGAGAGAAGCAGAGATAGACAGTGAGACAAAGAGACAGAGAGAAAGAAAGAGTTTTGATGAGAGAGAGAGAGAGAGAGAGAGAGAGAGAGAGAGAGAGAGAGAGATTCACATATAAATAAACCCACAGGCTCTTTGGTGGAAAGAGGTTACATAAATCAAATAAGAAATAACAAATGACAATAAGCCACTTTGCAGCAAGCTATAAATAAGAGCTGAGATTCCGGCAGGATACCCAGACTTTATGTTCTATAAAACAGCCACATGAGAGGTATACAGCAGAATGACAATAAAGTATGTCAGTAAACAAAGAGCTCTTTGTCCTACCCTTGTTAGACAAATATATTTATCAAACCTGTTAGTATTTGAACATGGCCTAAAGAACTTTCATGCAGTTTAATTTGTATGGAGTTTCTGCTTTTAGCCTAAGACACTCAGAAATGTAACAGAGATAAAGCATCATTAGCTGACAGTGACACAGGGTCAATATAGCATTTAATTTTGTAAATATTGTTGAGTAAATAAACATCTCCTCAACAGTAAATGTATGCAAGTCCCTTTTCTATCTTGAAAAGCTTCAACATGGAAAGAGTTTCTCTGGAACATTTATAGAGTTACGCGATAGAGACAAGGGATGGAGCATAAATAGTAATTCACATATATTTGATATTAAATCAGAGATTCCATTTTGTGTCCTGAAACTAAATACCCATGTAGTTACTTTTATTTTAACAATATCAAAAAGGTTTAAAAATCACTCAACCCATCAAGGCACAGCTGACAAGTTGAAGAGAGCACAGAGCAAGGCAGGAGGGAAAGGAGGGGGTGGGAATGCAGTGGGACAAGAGGCATCTAAGCGGGCGTCATCCTTCTCAGGTCTTGGTTCTCCCAACCAGGCAGTGAATCCTGTTACCAAGAGTGGACAGTGCCCCACAGGGCAGGAAATCTAAAAGGGCAACAAGAGAAAGCCAGTCACAGGGACCAGGAGGTCAGCCGATCTCCACTTCAGCAAGACTTGATTGCCTCCTGGACAGTGTCTGGACTCTCCATCAAAAATGGAAAGACTGGTCTGTAAGTAACCATATTTGCACTCTTGAGTCTGGTGTCAGGTCCTATTTGCAAAATCATGCATATTTCTATAAATCCAAAATTTGCCCTATTCATTCATTCTCAAGGAGAAAGATACATTCATTTGGTTGAGTCAGGGATTAACTCTGCAGTAATGAATGTACGTCTCCACTCTTCTTATGGCATGCTTATGTCCTGTGGCTAAAACTCAGAATCTTAACGTGGAGTGACGGAAATGAGTTGCCAAAGGGCATATATACTGTGTTACCATTTCTACATAATTTTAAAGCATAAAACTGCAATGTGCAGAGATTCATTCATAAGTACAACTAAAAGGAATGCTTTACAGGTCATTAGTCTGTGGTGGTTCCAGAGTCTGCAGTTCGCACATAAGCAAATTCAGTGCAAACAGCAACAAGAAACTCAAGTTTAACCCATCAGAAACTGCCAACAACCCTCTAATTAGCATATTGCCCCTGGAATGATTCAAACAAGACTATTCCTACACTTTAACTGGTCAAATACTTTCTTTGTCTTGCATCCACCCACGTTCACCCTACAAAAGCCCCTTGGTATCCTTTCAATGGAGTCCAGAACCACATGCAATCTGGAACTGCCCAATGTACAAATCATTGTCTGCTCAAACTCTAAAATTTCTGTGTGCCTTGGGTTATTTTTGACCAGTGCTGCTATATGGAAAAATACAAGGGGATTCAGATACAATTTTAGGATAATGAGGATTTCTCAGAAGGGAGAGAAGGTAAAGGAAAACATAGGTAGATATTTGATCCCCCCCATCACCCTGTACAGGGGTTCCAACTCAGGACCTTGTGCTTGTGAGGCAGGTGCTTATACCACTGAGATATCTCCCTAGCCTGACTTTTGATCGAATTGTTGCTCTTTATTTAGAAAGATACTTGACAAAAGTATAATAAAAGACTAATAACTATGGTAGTAGGTACATAACTATATTATTTTCTGCAGTTTTTTGCATGTTGGAAATACTTCATAATTAAACACCCTAAAAATAATAAGATTATGTTCTGCCTTATTATCTTCTCTTAGACAACACTACTCTCCACCTGGGCTGGGCTATCATGACTTTCAAAGATCATAATTACACTCACTTCTATATCTAAGATTGAGGATTTATTTTCCTCTAGATTTTAAGTGGTCAGAGTATTTCTAGAATCATTATACTGACCAAAAATCAAAAATAATAAAACTTTATGGAAATTAGGTTTCCATAAAAATGGAAAATGAAGAAGACCAAGTCAGCCAATCTCATTTCTACCTCTTTCCTCTGTGTCCAATGTAACAAGATGTGTTCCTTGGCTGAGGGTGAGTGCTTGAGACAGTATGTGAATATGTGCATGTGTGAGTGCCTGTTTGTGTGAGGAAACTTAATGATACTCTCTGCTGTTGAGGGCATGCATAAACACCATACAGACAGGTTTGTCAAATATTGTAAGGAATTATAGGCCATCTTTATTTTTTATTATTTATTTATTTAGGTGTGTGTGGCAGAACCGGGGATTGAACGCAGGCCCTTTTGCTTGCCAGGCAAGCGCTTATTCTACTGAGCCATCTCCTGGCCCCTATAGGCCATCCTTTAACACATTAGGATTCATTACTATGGAAATGATTTAAATCCAAAATTTAGCAGCCCACTTTATTTTGCCCAAGAGTAAGTGGATGATGAGGATGAAGCAATTTCATTTTAAAATAATTGAAAGGTCCATTTCCCTGTCCTTACCCTGTTCTTAGGTATAACACTGAAAATATCCTGGAAGCAATTTCTATCAAAGATTTTACCTCATCCACCATGTCCTGGAAGGTGTATAAATGAACACGTTTTGCACATGTGTGCACATATATGTTCTCTGGAGTATGGTTAGACAAGCGGTCATTTAGTTGGCACACTGTGTCGATAAACTCATCCTTGGTACTGATTATGCTTTACCCCTCAGCTCACCTCAGAAGTAATGATAATGATCCTCTCATGAGAGAGGGAGTTAATAAACTCTCTCTGGTGAATTGAACAGGCCTTTGATTATGGCAGAAATGATGTTAAGAGGCTTCAAAATCATCAAAGACTCTGGATATTCCACCCAGGCCTTTTGGAAGGCCCACTGTTGTAGGAAGTCATCACATCACGTGGAAGCACACAGACCACAGGAGAATCCCGGTGGAGCTGTTCTGGCCCACAGACTACCTACAGGGAGACACCCTTGGGGTTTCAGCTCCATGCACTGGAGCCACCCCAGCTGATACCACACGGAGCAAAGCTGAGCCATTCCTTCTAAGTGTTGATTACAAAGGCATGAATAAAGATCTAGACACACATAACTAAAAATCCTCTATTCTTCTAGTTTTTCCCCATAGATACATTTTGCATTCTTGCTTTCCTGACTGTGAATACTTGATACCTCTTGAAAAGGTCAGGCTAAGTGGATTGAATGAGTAGAAGTCACTTGGGGGTGATAAGAAGAATGTAGAACATCTAATTGGTACGTGGGTGAGTTTAGACAGAATCTGTGCAGAGGGAGAAGTGGCTAGATGATCCACTCTGGCTCTGGACAAATTTTATGAGAACCTATAAGGATGGCTCACTACTGAGATGCAGGAGCATAGTTTCAACTATCATTTAAAATCTGCAGTCATTGGACACTTTTGTAAACTGAGAGACTATTCATTTATTCATCATCTTCTAAGTGAGCATCTTCAATTTGTTGGGTCTGGACCATACTGTTCACTCATTAGAAAACATGAATCCAGAAACAAGAGTGACCTTTTTCTAAGGACAATAAGTTAATACCAAAACCTTAGCTGCTTTAACTTCACATCCAGCCTTGCTTTTGTGATATTGCCCAGGGGTTTGCGTCTCTAGGCCTGCTACAAGCTCTATGATAGCGGGTGGCCTTCGTCTCTGTAGGCTCCAGTTTTCATTTGGATAATGTATCCATATGTATGTGGATATTAGAGGTTTGTATTACATCATCTCAAATAGTTTCTTTCTTCTCCCTGCTTTTCTTCTTCCTGTTGCAATCTATTTCTGCAACAGATTTCTACTATGTCACGTTAGTGAGCTGGAGCTCCATATCTCAGCCTGTTTCTACCTTTCTATGAGGTCTGTGTACAGAAATACAGCTGCAGCTTATGTGCTAGAAAAGGGGCTCCAGAGCTCTGCACAATTTGTTCATGCTGTTGCTCACCACCCGAGCTGGGATGGCCATTGGTTGGATTCTCCAGTTCCTGCTGGTTTCTGCTTTGGGTTCTTTGGGAGCTAGACTGGGCCCACTCATTGTTTTGCAGTGAGGACACTGGGTCTTCTGCAGGGCATTGTGGCTTTGGGGTTCAATATTTCTTTTGTATTTCAATGAGTTTCTTTGCATGATTTTCAATGAAAAAATATTAATGTTAAAACAGTTGAGGTTTGGTCAGGGAAGCACAACTCTGTGAGTTTTATTACAGTGACTAGTTCTCATTCAATTATGGGAGGAAAATGGAAAGCAAATGTCCAAACAGGATGGTTTGCAGAACAGAGAGCAGCTCCTACTCAGAGCACTGGCCTGGATATTTCATCGACTATCACATAGAGACATTCATTGAAGTGCAAAAAATAATGTTCTGTTTTACAGAGAAGTAACCTATCAAGGCTACTTAAATACAAATTCCTACTT